GTGGGAGGAGTGTTGTCATGGGGACAGCTGTGGGAGGAGTGTTGTCATGGGGACAGCTGTGGGAGGAGTGTTGTCATGGTCAACGCTGAATGGCAGCTCCTCATGAGTCATCTGCTTGAAATCCAGAGTAATGTCTAATCCCTGGAGAGGGATACAGTTCACGGGATACAGTCCACGGGATACAGTCCACAGGATACAGTCCACGGGATACAGTCCACGGGGTACAGTCCACAGGATACAGTCCACGGGATACAGTCCACGGGATACAGTCCACAGGATACAGTCCACGGGATACAGTCCACGGGATACAGTCCACAGGATACAGTCCACAGGATACAGTCCACGGGATACAGTCCACAGGATACAGTCCACAGGATACAGTCCACAGGATACAGTCCACAGGATACAGTCCACGGGATACAGTCCACGGGATACAGTCCACGGGATACAGTCCACGGGATACAGTCCACGGGAAACAGTCCACAGGATACAGTCCACAGGATACAGTCCACAGGATACAGTCCACAGGATACAGTCCACGGGATACAGTTCACGGGATACAGTCCACGGGATACAGTTCACGGGATACAGTCCACGGGATACAGTTCATGGGATACAGTCCACGGGATACAGTTCACGGGATACACAGCTGCTACAATAACACATGCAGGCAATGGAATTCTGTTTCTGTATCTAGACTCCACGCCAGGAAGAAGGCCAGGAACCACACTGTGTTGTCTATAAGACAAAAATATTTAAAATAATGATTCAACTATTGTACAGTTTGAACAACAGTTGAACTGTGCCAGCATAACATCAACATTAGGGTAGACTAGTTGAACATGCATCCATGTGCACAGGCACATCAATTAAATGTACAACAATAGAAGTAAATATGTCATAACCCTCAACCTTTTCACAGTGACCAGACCGTACAAATGTACCTAGGTAGGTAGGAAGACAGTATCTACCTACAGCCATGTCTATCAGGCATGCTTAGGCTAGTTAAAAAAAATAGTAAAACCAGTGTGGTGTCGAGAAAACGTTGCTAATTATGCTGTGAAAACAAGGAAATCCGCTGACACTGTACTTTGATTATAATGGTTTATTTATATCAAAGGATTCCAGCGTCAATTTACAGACATCTGCCGATATCCGGAGAATAACTGGACCCAATCTGTAATATGTTATTCTCCCCGTCCTCTGTTTTAACCGTGGTATTTATCCTATGCCCTATATAACATAATATGGGTGTTTTCCCCTACAGACCAATCCCAGGACTCCACCTAACAGACTTCCTCGGCTTTAGGGTGCCCCTATAGAACTACTCTCCAGATGCTCCCTTAAGCTGAGTCAACATCCTCTAAGACCATTTGCAACCATTAGCAAAGTCATAAATTCCTTAGATACCACACCAGTTTTATAGATTTACAACAGTAAATTGTTGTGTTATTGTTTATCCTTACTGTTTGCTTGTAAACTTCGCTAGCTAGCTTGCTGGAGATACAATACCTGCTATTCACATCTGTTTGGAATCCTATCTTCTGTTATGTCTGGGAAAAATGTGTTTGAATCAACCGATAGGAACATCGCTGAAAGAGGTTCAATGGACAACCATATCTATACGCACAAAAACGTATAGTGTGATCAGATTTCCCCTTTAAGACTTACTGCCACCGCAACCTGTCCCCTGTCCAAACTGATAGGGCACTACAACCACATAGGAGTTGTGAAAGTCTCACCTTCATATTAGTGTGTAGTCTAAACTGTTCGGATGCTACAGACAGAAGTTGGCTGATCGGCGGCACCGACTTCAGACGAGTCCAGTGACCTTTGTGGGGGTCGTAGAGTGGAGAACACCATTGTGTTCTTGAGAGTCTCCATAGAGGGGTCACATTATACTGAACAAAAATATAAACGCGACATGTAAAGTGTTGGTTCCATGTTTCATGAGCTGAAATAAAATATCCCTGAAATTTTCCATATGCACAAAAAGCTTATTTCTCTCAAATGTTGTGCACAAATTTGTTTACATCCCTGTTATTGAGCATTTCTCCTTTGCCAAGATAATCCATCCACCTGACAGGTGTGGCATATCAAGAAGCTGATAAACAGCATGATCATTACATAGGTGCACCTTGTGCCGGGGACAATAAAAGGCCACTCTAAAATACACAATACCACGGACATCTCAAGATTTGAGGGCGCGTGCAATTGACTGCAGAAATGTCCACCAGACATGTCACCAAAGCTGTTGCAAGAGAATTTAACGTTCATTTCTCTACCATAAGCCGCCTCCAACGTCGTTGGTTACACGACCACGTGGAACCACGCCAGCCCATGACCCCCACATCCGGCTTCTTCACCTGCGGGATCGTTTGAGACCAGCCACCCGGACAGCTGATGAAACTGTGGATTTGCACAACCGAATAAAGCAACTTTCTAAAAAATGTTTTGGTTTGTTTCTAGCTGGTTAGCTAGCTAGCTAACGTTCAGTTCAAATAATGACCCTATCATAGCTGACAATAAACTCACAACATGATCATTATTTACAAGTTAATGGCGAGTTAATTACAGAAAATAGCTTACGGTTGGGAGTGTGACGAAATAAAAGAAGGGCATTCTACCAGAGAATTCTAGAACATGGACACTGTCTCGTTGTTACATCCATATTTGACTTTGGTGCAGGTCATATTATTCTTTGCCTCTGGTAAACACACACTATATCAAATAAAATCAAAGTTTATTTGTCACATGCACAGGATACAGAAGGTGTAAACGGTACAGTGAAATGGTGACTTGCATAGTGGAGTCTTTTGTTTAGACACATAGATAGCTAGCTAAACAATTAACCATAATCCCAACGTTACTACCATGCATGAATCTGCAGTTAACTCAAGTTAATCAACTAGGTTCAATGTCAGTTATCTAGGCTATAACTAGCGGTGCAAATAGATCATACACGTAACGTTAGCTAGCACGCCAGCCAGTTAACGTTAGCTAGCAAGCCAGCCAGTTAACGTTAGCTAGCAAGCCAGCCAGTTAACGTTAGCTAGCAAGCCAGCCAGTTAACGTTAGCTAGCAAGCCAGCCAGTTAACATTAGCTAGCAAGCTAATAGTACGCTTTAACTTTCAATGAAAACAACTTTCAACAAAATTAGAAACGTGTAATATCTGAAAATGTAGCTAGCTAGACTCTTTTACCCATATACATGGATGGACGCTTCTCCCTCTCTGTTACGGATGCCATGGTTGCCCTTAGTTTGAAGATATAATCCGGAGACAGGTGTTTTATACAGCCTTCTGTGTTTTCTCTTTTCGACTCCCTTCGCATATTTGCAATCAAATGCCAGAATTTTCTCCATCTCCTTAGCTTTCATACTCTGCTTCCACCGGGCATTCCACTGATTTGAAAACTCGGTCAACGTCTTCATTGCGGTTCTTTGTGATATCTTTCAAAAGATCCGCTGTAACTCAGTGAAATCTTTGAAATTGTTGCATGTTGCATTTATATTTACGTTTAGTGTAGTTTGTAGGCCAAACTGTTCGGGCACTACAAACGTTTTCGTGAGAAGACAATCCTCCGGGATGTCTCATGGTCTGACAAACACCGCTGTAGCTCTGCCAGCTTTCACCACAGATGCAGAAGGCTTAAATAGACCGTTTTGATGGGGATGTTGTTATTAACACTCTCAGATTAGCATTGCCCTTTAGTATTTACAATATTTACAATATCAAAATTATATATGTATGTTTAGGAGAGGCGTCCCAAATGGCACCCTATTCCCTACATAGTGCACTAGTTTTGACCAGAGCCCTCTGTCAAAAGTAGTGCACTAAAAAGCGAATAAGGTGCAGCCATATATCCTTCTTAGGGGCCATCACTTTAATAGAAGGATTTGATTTAGCTAATCCTAGTAGTACCGCACTCAGCTGCAACAGCCAATCAGGGGCCCCGAGTGTGCCTATTGGCTGACGCTGCTGAAGATGCCTTGTGGGGGGGGGGGGGGGGGGGGGGGGTTTATCTCACTCTCTCTCTCTCTCTCTCTCTCTCTCAGTTATTTTCCTGAGCTCATCCATTCATCCGCTGTAGTATACAGGAGGTAGGGAGCAGAGTGGAGCACAGACGTAGTATACAGGAGGTAGTATACAGGAGGTAGGGAGCAGAGTGGAGCACAGACGCGGAGCTGCTCACACAGAGCATCCTGCAGGAGAGACAGGACCTGAGCCACACAGCGGAGAGAGAAACAGATAGAGGGGAGAGACAGGACCTGAGCCACACAGCGGAGAGAGAAACAGATAGAGGGGAGAGACAGGACCTGAGCCACACAGCGGAGAGAGAAACAGATAGAGGGAGATATATATATATATACATAGAGAGAGACAGATAGAGACAGAGAGAGAGAAAGCAGGCTGTCTGCCTCAGGACTGCTGCAGCTGCATTAAATCTCTAGGCTGTCACGCCAGCACTCACCGGAGGAGAGAGGAAAGAAGAGAGAGGAGAGAGGAGAGAGAGGAGAGCGATTTCAGTAAGGATTTCATTGGTACGGTATCTGGGACAAACAGCGATGGGTACCCAACAAGACCGTCTGTCACCAGATCAAACTTGAAAGGAAAACTGGAGGAAAATAAAAGTCCCTTTGGATTGTTCCTGTCTATCTTCTCCAGAAAAAGCATTGGATTCTTTCTGTTTCTTTCTGTTTTCTTGAGTAAACTGAAGGAGAAGAGAGAGTGCAGGATAACCCATACTTTAACTGTCTGCTTCATAAAAGCTGAGTAGGAGGAGGATTTCTGACTGACTGATTTCCTTCTCAGTATTTTCTGACTGACTGATGAACTGAACTCTTTCAACTTTGCTGCTGCTGTTTGCTGCAAAAACTCTCTCACTACACTGTCCTGTCCTGTCCGATCACCCTCCCCCTCCTCAGGCCCTTGTTCCCCTCTTCCACCTCTCCTCTCCTGGTGAAAGTATTTTCTCTGCATGCTCTCCCACTGCTCAGCAGGACAACACACTCATGGTGGATGCTAAAGGCCGGAACAGGAAATGTCTGACCTTCCTCTTGATGCTCCCAGAGTCCGTCAAGAGCAAGCCGCCGAGTACTAAGAGCTCCAAAAAGACAGCTAACGTCGGTGGCGCTTCCGGGGGTAGTACCGGGGGTAGTACCGGGGGTAGTACCGGGGGTAGTACCGGGGGAAGTACCGGGGGTAGTACCGGGGGTAGTACCGGGTCCAAGCTGCCTCCGGTGTGTTACGAGATCATTACCCTGAAGAACAAAAAGAACAAGAAGAAGATGTCAGATATTTTCCCCAGCACTAAGAAGCAGGGTGGAGGGTCGGGGGCCACAGTGCAGGAGTACCAGCAACAGAACCTGAATAATAACAACACCATTCAGAACTGTAACTGGCAGGGGATGTACTCTACTATACGAGAGAGGTGGGTGACACTAACTAACTAACTAACTCATATACTAGCGGTAGGTGACACTAACTAACTAACTCATATACTAGCGGTAGGTGACACTAACTAACTAACTCATATACTAGCGGTAGGTGACACTAACTAACTAACTAACTCATATACTAGCGGTAGGTGACACTAACTAACTCATATACTAGCGGTAGGTGACACTAACTAACTAACTAACTCATATACTAGCGGTAGGTGACACTAACTAACTAACTAACTAACTAATATACGAGAGAGGTGGGTGACACTAACTAACTCACTCATATACTAGCGGTAGGTGACACTAACTAACTCATATACTAGAGAGGTGGGTGACACTAACTAACTAACTAACTCATATACTAGCGGTAGGTGACACTAACTAACTAACTAACTCATATACTAGCGGTAGGTGACACTAACTAACTAACTAACTCATATACTAGCGGTAGGTGACACTAACTAACTAACTACCTCATATTCACTAGCTCCTTGGAGTGTGGCGCCTCACCATTTGGATCTCCACACTTTGCTGTTCTGGGCCGGGTCCCAGGCTGGGAGCATCCTCCTCCTGTTCTGGGCCGGGTCCCAGGCTGGGAGCATCCTCCTCCTGTTCTGGGCCGGGTCTCAGGCTGGGAGCATCCTCCTCCTGTTCTGGGCCGGGTCCCAGGCTGGGAGCATCCTCCTCCTGTTCTGGGCCGGGTCCCAGGCTGGGAGCATCCTCCTCCTGTTCTGGGCCGGGTCCCAGGCTGGGAGCATCCTCCTCCTGTTCTGGGCCAGGTCCCAGGCTGGGAGCATCCTCCTCCTGTTCTGGGCCGGGTCCCAGGCTGGGAGCATCCTCCTCCTGTTCTGGGCCGGGTCCCAGGCTGGGAGCATCCTCCTCCTCTAGAAAAGAGACCAGGGAATCATACTGTAACATATGATTCCCTGGTCTCTGCTCTAGAAGACGCTGATTTACAGTATGATAGTGTGTTCCCTCAGGCCACTACTCTACTACCACATATCTACAATACAAAAAAACATGTGAATGTGTGCGTATAGTGTGTGTCTTATCATGTGTATGTGTGTCCGTGCCTGTGTGTGTGTCTCTTCACAGCCCCCCGCTGTTCCGTAAGGTGTACTGTATGCATCAGTTACCTGATGTGGAATAGAGTTCCATGTAGTCATGGCTCTATGTAGTACTGTGCGCCTCCCATAGTCTGTTCTGGACTTGAGGACTGTGAAGAGACCTCTGGTGGCAAAGTCTTTTGGGGTATGTATGGGTGTCCGAGCTGAGTGCTAGTAGTTTAAACAGACAGCTCGGTGCATTCAACATGTCAATACTTCCTACAAAAACAAGTAGTGATGAAATCAATCTCTCCTCTGTTTTGAGCCTTGAGAGATTTACATGCATATTATTAATGTTAGCTATCTGTGTACATTTAAGGGCCAGCTGTGCTGCCCTGTTCTGAGCCAATTGTAATTTTCAGAGATCCCTCTTTATGGCACAAAGACTGAACAGTAGTCCAGGTGAGACAAAACTAGAGCCTGTAGGACCTGCCTTGTGTGTAGGAGTGGCAGTGAGTGTGAGTGTGGAGGGCCCTGTGAGTGTGCACAGAGACAGTGAAAAAATAAGGGTAAACTCAGATAGTTGTGTACCAATTCTGTTAGCTATTTAGCAGTCATATGGCTTGGGGATAGAAGCTGTTCAGGAGCCTGTTGGTGTCAGACTTGATGCACCGGTACCGCTTGCCGTCTGGAAGCAGAGAGAACAGTCCATGGCTTGGATGGCTGGAGACTTTGATGACTTTCCCGGGCCTTCCTTTCACACTGTCTGATATAGAGGTCCTGGACGGCAGGGAGCTTGGCCCCAGTGACGTACTGGGCTGTCCGTACCACCCTCTGTAGCGCCATGCGATCGAGGGCGGTGTTGTTGCCATACCAGGCGGTGATGCAGTCAGTCAAGATGCTCTCAATGGTGCAGCTGTAGAACTTTTTGAAGATTTGATGGCCCATGCCAAACCGTTTTCAACCTCCTGCGCATGTGAGTGGACCATTTTAAGTCCTTAGTGATTTGGACACCGAGGAACATGAAGCGATCGACCCACTCAGCTGCAGCCTCGTCGATGTGGACGGAGGCGTGCTCGCCCACCCGTTTCATGTAGTCCACGATCAGCTCCTTGGTCTTGCTGATGTTGAGAGAGAGGTTGTTGCTCCGGCACCACACTGACAGGTCACTGACCTCCTCCCTGTAGGCTGTCTCATCGTCGCTGGTGATCAGGCCAACCACCGCCGTGTCGTCAGCAAACTTGATGATGGTGTTGGAGTCGTGCTTGGCCAAGCAGTCGTGGGTGAACAAGGAGTACAGGAGGGGACTAAGCACACACTTCTGTGGGGCCCCCGTGTTGAGGGTCAGCGTGCGTCAGGAAGTTCAGGATCCAGTTGCAGAGGGAGGGGTTCAGTCCCAGGGTCCTAAGCTTGTTGACGAGCTCGGAGGGGACAACAGTGTTGAACGCTGAGCTGTAGTCAATGAACAGCATCCTGTTGACGAGCTCGGAGGGGACAACGGTGTTGAACGCTGAGCTGTAGTCAATGAACAGCATCCTGTTGACGAGCTCGGAGGGGACAACGGTGCTGAACGCTGAGCTGTAGTCAATGAACAGCATTCTCAAATAGGTATTTCTAGGTGGGTGAGGGCAGTGTGGAGTGCAATTGAGACTGCGTTGTCTATGGATCTGTTGGGGCGGTTTCCAAATTGTGGTGAGTCGATGGCACTGGCCAGCCTTTTCTGAGTAACGATCACTTTCTGAGTCAAAATGCAGGCCGAGATCTACAGCTCAGATTTTATTTTAAACATGTCTTAATAAATGTAAGCCTACGCAACATGAACCAATTAAAAACAGTTCTGTAGCAGTGAGGTTTGTGCAGTAGGCTATAGGTCCAGTACATTATCACTGCATATCGGCTACGCTTGAGTTGCCCTGCCAATGTTGTTCTTCTCCGACCATTTTGAAATTATATAAAACATTTTTAGGTATATGATCACACGTAGGGAGAACGCACATTTTATGGCTTATAAAAGTGTTGGACAACGTGTTGACAGTGCTTGATAACAACTGAAACATTTACTCATTAAAACAGCAGCTCTTTGCTGTATTCATGGGTATTGTGCTATTTCAGCCACACCCGTTGCTGACAGGTGTATAAAATCGAGCACACAGCCATGCAATCTCCATAGACAAACATTGGCAGTAGAATGGCCTTACTGAAGAGCTCACAGACTTTCAACGCGGCACCGTCATAGGATGCCACCTTTCCAACAAGTCAGTTTGTCAAAGTTCTGCCATGCTAAAGCTGCCCCGGTCAACTGTAAGTGATGTTATTGTGAAGTGGAAATGTCTAGGAGCAACAACTGCTCAGCCGTGAAGTGGTCGGCCACACAAGCTCACAGAACAGGACCGCCGAGTGCTGAAGCGCATAGCGCTTAAAAATCGTCTGTCCTCGGTTACAACACTCACTACTGATTTCCAAACTGCCTCTGAAAGCAACGTCAGCACTGTTCGTCGGGAGCTTCATGAACAACTGTTCGTCGTGAGCTTCATGAAATGGGTTTCCATGGCAGAGCAGCCACACACAAGCCTAAGTTCACCATGCGCAATGCCAAGCGTCGGCTGGAGTGGTGTAAAGCTCGCCGCCATTGGACTCTGGAGCAGTGGAAACGCGTTCTCTGGAGTGATGAATCACGCTTCACCATCTGGCAGTCCGACTGACAAATCTGGGTTTGGTGGATGCCAGGAAAACGCTACGTGCCCCAATGCATAGTGCCAACTGTAAAGTTTGGTGGAGCAGGATTAATAGTCTGGGGCTGTTTTTCATGGTTCGGGCTAGGCCCCTTAGTTCCAGTGAAGGGAAATTTCAACGCTACAGCATGCAATGACATTCTAGACGATTCTGTGCTTTGTGGCAACAGTTTCGGGAAGGCCCTTTCCTGTTTTAACATGACAATGCCCCTGTGCACAAAGCGAGGTCCATACAGAAATTGTTTTGTCGAGATTGGTGTGGAAGAACTTGACTGGAATGCACAGAGCCCTGACCTCAACCCCATCGAACACTTTTGGGATGAATTGGAACACCGACTGTGAGCCAGGCCTAATCGCCCAACATCAGTGCCCGACCTCACTAATGCTCGTGGCTGAATGGAAGCAAGTCCCCGCAGCAATGTTCCAACATCTAGTGGAAAGCCTTCCCAGAAGAGTGGAGGCTGTTATAGCAGCAAAGGGGGGGGGGGGGGGACCAACTCCATATTAATGCCCATGATTTTGGAATGAGATGTTCGACGAGCAGGTGTCCACATACTTTTGGTCATGTAGTGTATGAGAGTTTGATTTAGCATACAGCACAGGTACTACTCTGTCCAATGAAGTCCTGTGATCTTACTCTGGTCTGTTTTTCAGAAACTCTGTGATGTTCAACAATGAGTTGATGGCCGACGTTCACTTCGTGGTGGGACAGACGGGAGGGACACAGAGACTTCCAGGACACAGGGTAAGGGTAACCATCATCATCTCTTAGGTACTGGGTAACCAGCGGGGACTGAATCCTTCTCCTGATCGCCAACCCACAGTCTTAACCGTTAGACATCCTCACGGTCCAAGGGTGATATTTGGGATTAAGGCAGGGGTAATTTATCACTAGACTATGATTTCAAATAACCTGACTTTTATCTAACTGTCTCAACAGTGATCCAGTGATCCAGTGATCCAGTGATTCAGTGATCCAGTGATCCAATAGAAAGAACAACTAATAAGGACTCATAAACCCAGAGCTGGTTCTTTGTATCACTACTGTTAGTATCATTACTGATACTGTTCAGAGAGATGACATCATCACCTATTAGGTACTGTTTAGAGAGATGACATCATCATCTATTAGGTACTGTTTAGAGAGATGACATCATCATCTGTTAGGTACTGTTTAGAGAGATGACATCATCATCTATTAGGTACTGTTCAGAGAGACCTCATGTCCTGGACTGTGCGGTTTTCAGTCATCCATTTTGTCCCTTTGTCCCACGTTCCTCAACCAAACAATCATGTCCTGCATTTTATCAACAAATTAAAACACCACTAATTTACAAAGACATTTCGATTTGTCCCATATTTCGGTCAGACTACCTATTCAGTTGATGAGAATTGACATTCCAACCTGTCTCTCTTGCAGTCACGTTGCCATTATGACAAGATATACAGTAAAGTATTCATAGACCTTGACTTATTCCACATTTTGTTGTGTTACAGCCTGAATTCAAAATGTATTTAAAAAAATCTAAACAATCTCACCCATCTACCCACAATACCCCATAATGAGAAAGTCAAAACATGTTTTTTGCAAATTTATTGAAAATGAAATACAAAAATAACTAATTTACATAAGTATTCACACCCCAATACATGTTAGTATCACCTTTGGCAGCGATTACAGCTGCGAGTCTTTCCGGGTAAGTCTTTAAGAGCTTTGCACACCTGGATTGTACAATATTTGCACACATTTTTGATGCTCTGTCAAGTTGGTTGTTGATCATTGCTAGACAACAATTTTCAAGTCTTGCCATAGATTTTCAAGACAATTTAAGTCAAAATGTAACTAGGCCACTCAGGAACATTCAATGTTGTCTTGGTAAACAACTCCAGTGTATATTTTGCCTAGTTTTTTAGGTTATTGTCCTGCTGAAAGGTGAACTTGTCTCCCAGTGTCTGGTGGAAAGCAGACTGAACCAGGTTTTCCTCTAGGATGTGGCCTGTGCTTAGCTCTATTCCAGTTTTTTTAATCCTGAAAAATTCCCTGGTTCTTACCAATGACAAGCATACCTATAACATGACGCAGCCACCACCATTCTTGAAAATAATGTGTTGTATTGGATTTGCCCCAAACATAACACTTCAGGACATAAAGTTACTTTCTTTGCCACATTTTTTGCAGTTTTACTTTGGTGCCTTATTGTAAACAGGATGCATGTTTTGGAATATTTTTATTCTGTACAGGCTTCCTTCTTTTCACTGTGTCATTTAGGTTAGTATTGTGGAGTAACTACAATGTTGTTGATCCATTCTCATATTTCTCCTATCACAGCCATTCAACTCTGTAACTGTTTTAAAGTCACCATTGGCCTCATGGTGAAATCCCTGAGCAGTTTCCTTCCTCTCCGGCAACTGAGTTAGGAAGGACGCCTGTATCTTCATAGTGACTGGGTGTATTGATACACCATCCAGAGTGTAATTAATAACTTCACCATGCTCAAAGGGATGGTCAATGTCTGCTTTTTATTTGATTTTTACCCATCTACCAATAGGTGCCCTTCTTTACGAGGCATTGGAAAACCTCCCTGGTCTTTGTGGTTGAATCTGTGTTTGAAATTCACTGCTCGACTGAGGGAACTTACAGATAATTATATGTGTGGGGTACAGAGATGAGGTAGTCATTCAAAAATCCTGTTAAACTCTATCATTGCACACAGAGTCCATGCAACTTATTATGTGACTTGTTAAGCAAATCTTAACTCCCTGAACTTATTTAGGCTTGTCATAACAAAGGGGTTAGGAACCAGAACCATCTGTCAACCAGAACCATCTGTCAAGCAGAACCATATGACCATCTTTCAACCAGAACCATATGACCATCTGTCAACCAGAACCATCTGTCAAGCAGAACTGTCTGTCAAGCAGAACCATCTGTCAACCAGAACCATCTGTCAACCAGAACCGTCTGTCAAGCAGAACCATCTGTCAAGCAGAACTTCATGATGTGTGTGTGATCTGATTTGATTATGATGGGGAGAGCAGCAGCAACAAGCCTGCTCTGTCATGGTTCATCATTTACACCACACAGCACCCGGTCTGATACTCTGACAGCACCTCTGGGTCCCGTTGACTTTTCATTGGCCTCACGCCAAAGAGGAGAAATAAAAACGAACATCTCTAGCTATCCCAGCTTGTCCAGTTCAAGAATTGGGGAACAGACGTCCACCATTATCAAAATGAGACGTTCTTCTCTCTCTCTCTCTCTCTCTCTCTCTCTCTCTCTCTCTCTCTCTCTCTCTCTCTCTCTCTCTCTCTCTCTCTCCCTCCTCCCTCTCTCCTCCCTCCCTCTCTCCTCCCTCTCCCCCCCCCCACTCTTCTCCTACTCTCCTCCGTCTTCTTCCTGTGAACCTTCTGTAGTATTGTGATGTCATCATTACCAGAGGTAGTTCATTAGCAACATAGAGAACAGACTTCACACTTTCCTCCTGTCATTATAAAACACCATTTGAGACACGGCCTGGGGGGGGATCATGATTCCTCCATCTGTAGTTTAGCGTTGCTGCTGATTGTGGGGAATCTTTGTGTGTGGTCAAATGAACTCTAGTGGAGAGAGGAGAGAGATAAGGGGTGAAGCTGTCCAATATCATCCATGAAGGGGTGGATATACTGTATAGACTTTGGAAAGATGGCGACATCTTACGAGTTCCAACCCAACTTTGCTCATCCCAGACACCCTAGACCCACTCCAATTTGCATACCGCCCCAACAGATCCACAGATGATGCAATCTCAACTGCATTTCACACAGCCCTGCATAAGAGGGGAAATAACTATGTGAGAATGCTGTTCATAGAGTACAGCTCAGCGTTCAACACCGTAGTCCTCTGTAGCTCAGCTGGTAGAGCACAGCGCTTGTAACGCCAGGGTAGTGGGTTCAATCCCCGGGACCACCCATACGTAAAAATGTATGCACACATGACTGTAAGTCGCTTTGGATAAAAGCGTCTGCTAAATGGCATATTATTATTATTATTATTATAGTCCCCTCCAAGCTCATCACCAAGCTAGGGATCCTGGGACTGAACTCCTCCCTCTGCAACTGGTGGTGAGGGTAGACAACAGCACCTCCGTCACGCTGACCCCTCAGGGGTATGTGCTTAAGTACGCTCCTGTACTCACTGTTCAACCACGACTGTGTGGCCGCGGACAACTCCAACATCATCATCGAGTTTGCTGACTACATGATGGTGGTTGGCCTGATCACCAAAGGCGATGAGACAGCCTACAGGGAGGAGGTCAGAGACCTGGCAGAGTGGTGCCAGAACAACAACCTCTCCCTCAACGTCAATAAGACCAAAGGAGCTGATCGTAGACTATAGGAAAACATTGATGGGCTTTTGTGGAGCGGGTCGAGAGCTTTAAGTTCCTTGGCGTCCACATCACAAAGGACTTAACATGGTCCACACACACCTGCACAGTCGGAGGGTGAAAATATTTGGCATGGGCCCTTAGATCCTCATGTTATACAGCTGCACCATCGAGAGCATCTTGACTGGCTGCATCACCACTTGGTATGGCAATTCCACCGCCCTTGACTGCAAAGTGCTACAAAGGGTGGTGCGGACAGCTCAGTACATCACTGGGGCTGAGCTCCCTGCCATCCAGGACCTCTATATCAGGACATCCCAGTACATCACTGGGGCTGAGCTCCCTGCCATCCAGGACCTCTATACCAGGCGGTGTAAGAGGAAACCCCAAAGTCTCCAGCCACTCAAGCCATAGACTGTTCACTCTGCTACCGTCCGGCAAACGGTACCGGAGCATCAGCTCTCACACCAACAGGCTCCAAGACAGCTTCTACCCCCAAGCCATAAGACTGATAAATAGCCAGACTGCTAAATAGTCAATGAATGGTACCTGAACTATCTGCACTGACTCTATCTTCCACTGACCCTACGCACACTCACTGGACACACACACTATACACATCATATGTGACCGACCGCCTTGATTCGGTCTTATGTAGCAACATTTGAAATTGTGTTTTTTACATAAAAATAAAAGCAGAGACACAGGGCTACAAAACTGCATTTGAGGAACCACGGGAAAGTAATTCTGCTTTGAAAGTTGATAAACTTGTAATTTCACTTTTGAGAAAATGGCCTTTGAATGTTTTGATACCTAGTGAAGAGCTCTTCTTTGTCTACATCCATTCAGCATCGTTCACACCATCTTAAGCTTTAGCCCCACCCATCTCGGAGCGCTCTCGGAGTGCACACTGGACGCTCTGGCCGATGAGTAGGGTTGATCCGAGCGTTCTGACCTCACAACGGCTGTCAAGCACCCCAGCTAACTGGCTAACATTGGTTAGCTTGCTATTTACTTTCAGACACAAAATTGGGATTATGGTTCATTGTTTACCTCTGGATAACATGAAAACGGCCTAACCAGCTCTGCTGGCAACAATTTAATTACACTTTTTTGCCAACGTTTACAGCCACTGGCCATATTCAATGGGTGTTGTGTTTACGTAAATTAATCAGTTATTCTGCACTCTGGCATACTCAGACTGAATTTACGAACGCACCCAAAATAGTTAATTGCATAGTGGAGTCTTTTGTTAAGACATGTAGCTAGCTAGCTAGCTAGGTAAACAATGAACCTAGCTAGATAAACAACGTGTAAGATTTGTAAGTCGCTCTGGATAAGAGCTAAATGACGTAAATGTAAGATCATACACGTCACGTAACGTTAGCTAGCAAGCCAGCCAGCTAACAATAGCTAGTTAAACAATGAACCATAGTGCCAACTCATGACATTACTACCCTGCGTGAATCTGCTGATAGCTAACCAACCAGGTTCATTGTTAGCTAGCTAACATTAGGCTCTAACTAGCCAAGCAAACGGTTCTGAGATACGAATAAGATCATACACGTAACGTTAGCTAGCTGTCACACCCTGGCTCTGGGACTCTATTTGTTGAGCCAGGGTGTGTTTATTCTATGTGTCATATGTCTATGTTGGGAGTTCTAGTTTGTTTTATTCTATGTTTGCCTGAGTGACTCCCAATCAGAGGCAACGAGTGTCAGCTGTTGGCTGGTTGTCTCTGATTGGGAGCCATATTTAAACTGTCTGTTTTCCCTTTGTGTTTGTGGGTTCTTGTTCCGTGTTCGGTCATTGTTACCGTGGACTTCACGAGTCGTTTCTTGTTTTGTTTATTGTGTCGATTATCACTAAGGATAATAAAGTTCACTATGTTCGTTCAACACGCTGCGCATTGGTCTCTCCCTGACGATCGTGACACTAGCGAGCAAGCCAGCTAACGTTAGCTAGCTAGCTAACAGTACACTTTAACTTGAAATGAAACAACTTTCTGTCAAAATTTGAAACGTGTAATATCTGAAAATGTAGCTAGCTAGACTATCTTACCCGTATACATGGATGAACGCTTCTCCATCTCTGTCACAGATTTCATGGTTGCCCTTAGTTTGAAGATGTAATCCAGAGACAGGTGTTTTCTCCATCTCTTTAGCTATCATACTCTAATTCCACTGATTTAAAAACTCGATCCTCCAGAAAGTGGAGAGCACACTTATGTACAGTGCTATGAAAAAGTATTTGCCCCCTTTCTAATTTTCTCCACTTTTGCATATTTGTGATACTGAATGTTATCAGATCTTCAACAAAAACCTAATATTAGATAAAGGGAACATAAGTGGACAAATAACACAACAATTACATATTTATTTCATAAACAAAGTTATGCAACACCCAATTCCCCTGTGTGAAAAAGTAATTGCCCCCTTACACTCAATAACTGGTTGTGTCACCTTTAGCTGCAATGACTCCAACCAAATACTTCCTGTAGTTGTTGATCAGTCTCTCACGTCGCTGTGGAGGAATTTTGGCCCACTCTTCCATGTAGAACTGCTTTAACTCAGTGATGTGTGGGTTTTCAAGCATGAACTGCTCGTTTCAAGTCCTGCCACAACATCTCAATTGGGATTAGTTCTGGACTTTGACTAGGCCATTCCAAAACTTCCAATTTGCTGCTTTTTAGCAATTTTCATGTAGACTTGATTGTGTGTTTTGGATCATTGTCTTGCTGCATGACCCAGCTGCGCTTCAGCTTCAGCTCACAGACGGATGGTCTGACATTCTCCTGTAGAATTCTCTGATACAGAGCAGAATTCATGGTTCCTTCTATTAAGGCAAGTCGTCCAGGTCCTGAGGCAGCAAAGCATCACACCACTACCACCATGCTTGACCTTTGGTATGATGTTCTTACTGTGGAATTCAGAGTTTGGTTTTCGCCGGGCATTACTGGAACCATGTCATCCAAAAAGTTATACTTTTGAATCATCTGTCCATAGAACGTTCTTCCAAGAGTCTTGATGATCATCCAGGTGCTTTTTGACAAACTTGAGTCAACTTTTTGGACGAGATGGATCCCATTATGCCTGGCGAAAACCAAACACTGCATTCCACAGTAAGAACATCATACCAAAGGTCAAGCATGGTGGTGGTGGTGTGATGGTTTGGGGATGCTTTGCTGCCTCAGGACCTGGACGACTTGCCTTAATAGAAGGAACCATGAATATTGCACACATACACACTCACACTCACACTCACATACTTTAACACTCATCATATGCTGCTGCTACTCTGTTCTTTATTTTACTCTTATTATTATCTATCCTGATGCCTAGTCACGTTACCCTGCCTTCATATACATATCTACCACAAATACCTTATTATTATCTATCCTGATGCCTAGTCACGTTACCCTGCCTTCATGTACATATCTACCTCAAATACCTTATTATTATCTATCCTGATGCCTAGTCACTTTACCCTGCCTTCATGTCCATATCTACCACAAATACCTCATACCTCAGCACATTGATCTGGTACTGGTACCTCCTGTATATAGCTCCATATTGATCTGGTACTCCCTGTATATAGCTCCACATTGATCAGGTACTCCCTGTATATAGCTCCATTATTGTGTATTTTATTTTATTCCTCTTGGTATAGTTACTATTTTATTTTGTATATATATATTTTTTTACTCTGCATCATTGGGAAAGGTTAATTTCACTGAAAAGTCTACATCCGTTGTATTCGACACATTTTACATTACATTTTAGTCATTTAGCAGATGCTCTTATCCAGAGCGACTTACGTGATGAAGAAAATTTGATTAGATTTGAATTGATATTTAGGAAGGCAACAATAATCAATATCAATTGGAGTTCAAAAATCACAACGTCCTTCCACATTTCCTTCCACGTCCTTCCACATTTCCTTCCACGTCCTTATCTCTATTTCTATCCAAATGTATCTCTACAACTAAGCTCAGTTTTCCAGTTGTCTGTCTCTCCATCTCTCCTCTCTCCAATATTATGATCTGTCTTCCGGATCTTTATCTCACCATCTCTTCTCTCTCTCTCCAACAGTATGTTCTCGCTGTTGGTAGTTCAGTGTTCCATGCCATGTTTTATGGAGAGCTGGCGGAAAACAAGGATGAAATCCGGATTCCGGACATAGAGCCTGCAGCGTTCCTGGCCATGTTGAAGTAAGGAAGGATGTCTCTCCTTTTTTTACCTCCATCTATTTCTGAGTTCCAAATATAACATCTCTCTCTCTCTCTCTCTCTCTCTCTCTCTCTCTCTCTCTCTCTCTCTCTCTCTCTCTCTCTCTCTCTCTCTCTCTCTCTCTCTCTCTCTCTCTCTCTCTCTCTCTCTCTCTCTCTCTCTCTCTCTCTCTCTCTCTCTCTCCTTCTCTCTCTCTCTCTCTATAATAATTATCATTATTATAACCAACCCCTCTACCTGTCCCCAGGTACATCTACTGTGATGAGATAGAACTGAGCGCTGACACGGTGCTGGCCACGCTCTACACTGCTAAGAAGTACATCGTGCCTCACCTGGCCAGAGCCTGTGTTAACTACCTGGAGACTAGCCTTTCAGCCAAGAACGCCTGCGTCCTGCTGTCACAGAGCTGTCTGTTTGAGGAGCCTGAGTTGACACAGCGCTGCTGGGAGGTGAGAAACCTTTTTGAATATTGTATTTATAAGGAGGCAGAGTTACTTCTGACAGCATTTATTGGAAAGGAGATGGGACACTTTAATGATAGCTTCAGGAACATCTTTACTAAGATAAAACAGGATATGTTACATATGGCATTGAGTATTATGGGTACTGTCGTATATAATGCTACTAATATACACTGAACAAAATATAAACTCAACATGCAACAATTTAAAAGATTACTGAGTTACAGTTCACATAAGAAAATCAGTCAATTGAAATAAATTCATTAGGCCCTAATCTATGGATTTCACATGACTGGGAATAAAGATATGCATCTGTTGGTCACAGATACCTTAAAAAATGTATCTGGTGTGACCAATATTTGCCTCATGATCAGGCTGTTGATTGTGGACTGTGGAATGCTGTCCCAGTCCTCTTCAATGGCTATGAGAAGTTGCTGGATATTGACGGGAACTGGAACGTGCTGTTGTACATGTTGATCCAGAGCATCCCAAACATGCTCAATGGGTGACATGTCTGAGTATGCAGGTCATGGAAGAACTGGGACATTTTCAGCTTCCAGGAATTGTGTACAGATCCTTGCGACATGGGGCCGTGCATTATCATGCTGAAACATGAGGTGATGGAGGCAGATGAATGGCACGACAATTTTTATTTTATTTATTTTTTCTTTTATTTTCTTTTTTTTTCACCTTTATTTAACCGGGTAAGCCAGTTGAGAACAAGTTCTCATTTACAACTGCGATCTGGCCAAGATAAAGCAAAGCAGTGCGATTAAAAACAACAACACAGAGTTACATATGACAATAAGCCTCAGGAACTTGTCACGGTTTCACAGTTGTGGTCAAAAGTTTTGAGAATGACACAAATACTAATTTTCGCAAAGTCTGCTGCCTCAGTTTTGATGATGGCAATTTGCATATAGTCCCTCTTTGCCATGAAAATGAACTTCATCCCAAAAAGAAATGTCCACTGCATTTCAGCCCTGCCACAAAAGGACCAGCTGCCATCATGTCAGTGATTCTCTTGTTAACACAGTTGAGAGTGTTGACGAGGACAAGGCTTGAGATCACTCTGTCATGCTGATTGAGTTAGAATAACAGACTGGAAGCTTTAAAAGGAGGGTGGTGCTTGAAATCATTGTTCTTCCTCTGTTACCCATGGTTACCTGCAAGGAAACACGTGCCGTCATCATTGTTTTGCACAAAAAGGGCTTCACAAGCAAAGATATTGCTGCTAGTAAGATTGCACTTAAATCAACCATTTAGCGGATCATCTAGAACTTCAAGGAGAGAGGTTCAATTGTTGTGAAGAAGGCATCAGGGTGACCAAGAATGTCCAGCAAGCGCCAGGACCATCTCCTAAAGTTGATTCAGCTGCGGGATCGGGGCACCACCAGTGCAGAGCTTGCTCAGGAATGGCAGCAGGCAGGTGTGAGTGCTCTGCACGCACAGTGTGGCGAGGACTTTTGGAGGATGGCCTGGTGTCAAGAAGGGCAGCGAGGAAGCCACTTCTCTCCAGGAAAAACATCAGAGACAGACTGATATTCTGCAAAAGGTACAGGGATTGGACTGCTGAGGACTGGGGTAAAGTCATTTTCTCTTGTGTCATTCTCAAAACCTTTGACCACGACTGTACATTAAAATTGCCATTGATCAAATGCAATTGTGTTCGTTGTCCGTAGCTTGTGCCTGCCCATACCATAACCCCACTGCCACCATGGGGCACTCTGTTTACAACATTGACATCAGCAAACCGCTCGCCCACACAACACCATACACTCTGTCTGCCATCTGCCCGGTACAGTTGAATCCGGGATTCATCCATGAAGAGCACAGTTCTCCAGTGTGCAGTGGCCATTGAAGGTGAGCATTTGCCCACTGAAGTCGGTTACGACACCAAACTGCAGACAGGTCAAGACCCTGGTGAGGATGACGAGCACCAGGATGAGCTTCCCTGAGATGGTTTCTGACAGTTTGTACAGACATTCTTAGGATGTGCAAACCCACAGTTTCATCAGCTGTCCAGGTGGCTGGTCTCAGACGATCCCGCAGGTGAAGAAGCCAGGACGTGGAGGTCCTAGGCTGGCGTGGTTACACATGGTCTGCGCTTGTGAGGCCGGTTGGACGTACTGCCAAATTCTCTAAAACTAAATTACGTTGGAGGCGGCTTATGGTAGAGAAATGAACTTGCAATTCTCTGGTAACAGCTCTGGTGGTCATTCCTGCAGTCAGCACGCCAATCGCATGCTCCCTCAAAACATGAAACATCTGAGGCATTGTGTGTGTGGGGGGGGGGGGGGGGGGGGGGGTGTTCTACTAAGCTACAGTATATGAAATTGTTTTTAAAAGGTCATACCAAGGATCATTTTGCTATTTGATTTGGAATTTTAAGACCCCTTGAAGTATAAAAAACTAATATTTAAAAAAAAATATGAAAAATGTTATTTGGCCTTGCTGCTATTAGCCCATACAAATGCATTGAATAACATATTCACTACATGGAACAACAGATAGTCCCCCCCAGGAAATCTAAAGGAAGTTTGTTCTGAAGTGTCTGTCCTATTTCTGAGAGATATTAGAAAGATCAGGAAACATCAGGAAACATGTTTTATTTTATTTTGTCCCCTTTATATTTATCCCCTTATTTTTGGCACTAAACAGTATCCATATATACAGTACTTCCATTCATTTCTTCAACTGGTATATTCAGACGAGTCTTGTGAGGCCTGTTGGCGTTCAAAACAACAATATGTGCGTGTTTGTGAGAGTCTCATCTTTCCACAGAGGGGTCATATTAGTGTGTAGTCCAAACCGTTCGGACGCTACAGACAGAAGTTGGCAGATCAGCTGTATCTGACTTCAGACGAGTCCCAAGACACTTTTGGGGGTCGTAGACCAAACCTGAGAACACCATCTTGTAGTTCCAAGACGCTTTTGGGAGCAAAACGGAGAACAAAGACTCTACAGACCATTTTGTCTCATGGTCTGACAAGCTCTGTCACCTTTCACTGCAGATGTGGACGGAGACGCATCCAATGCAAAAAAACCCCAGATATCTTTAGCTTAAATTGACAGATTTTTGATGGGGAATTTTTTATTTTGCCAATTAGATTTTCCTCGGGGGTGCAGAGATCAACCTTTATAAGCTTCTTGATATGCCACGTGTGACGAGTACTGAGGATACGAAGAGGCAGGACACAGATGCAGGAATCAACAAGGTAAAGGTTTACTTAACAATTAGAAAGAGAATAAGAAGGAGAGAGTAAACGACACGAAGCTAAACAATCACACACAACACAATGACTGAACAGTCCAGGGCTACATAGGGGTGGTGATGAGACGATGAGGTGCAGGTGCACTGGAGGTGATTAGGGTGCGTTGGGTTTCCCTTCCTGTGTTTGCCGAGGTGGTGCGCTCAGACCGGTGGCTCAGTAGACCAGCGAATCAGAGCGCCGGAGGGGAGCAACGCGAGGAGAGGTGACAACATGTCAGGTGGATTATCTTGGCGAAGGAGAAATACTCCACTTTACAGGGGATGTAAACTAATTTGTGCACAAAATTTGAGAGAAATAATATTTTTGTGCATATGGAAACATTCTGGGATATTTTATTTCATCTCATGAAAAATGGGACCAACACTTTACATGTTGCGTTTATATTTTCGATCAGTATATCTTGGGCTGAAATGCTAGAGTTTTATCAATGACCAGTAATGTCGGTTGTCTTAAACTTGGCCAGTGTGTTTTCTTAGTTGTGTCTCTGCATGCTGAAGAAGGCTGCGGGTCGAAACGCGTCTGTCTGTGGATTACTCATCCGTCTCCGTCCCCATCCCACCAGGTGATTGATGCCCAGGCAGAGCTGGCCCTGACATCGGAGGGTTTCACGGACATCGACTCCAAGACACTCGAGAGTATCCTCCAGAGAGACACCCTGAATGCCAAGGAGGAGGTGGTGTTCGAGGCAGCTATGAGCTGGGCCGAAGCAGAATGTCAGAGAAAGGACCTCACCACCTCCATCGACAACAAACGCAAGGTATTACTAACGGGATTACAGCAACGCTGACATTAACCATCAACCCAACATTTTAGCCATCATGGCAAGAGAGCCAAACCTCTTGACGAGGTTGCTAGGTGTTGGGTTAAGGTCACTACATTATCTTATGATAGTATTTATTGATGATATCTTATGCTGATCTACAATGGTATGTTTAGGAGTACTTTGTAGCTCCTCAGTTTCTAGTGTGTTTAGGGTTTACTCAGTCAAGGGTTTTTCTTTATTTTTATACTATTTTTTACATTGTAGAATAATAGTGAAGACATCAAAACTATTAAATAACACATATGGAATCATGTAGTAACCAAAAAAGTATTAAACAAATCAAATATATATTTTCTATTTGAGATTCTTCAAATACCCTTTGCCACCCTTTGCCTTGATGACAGCTTTCAATTAACAGGTGTGCCTTCTTAAAAGTTAATTTGTGGAATTTCTTTCCTTCTTAATGCGTTTGAGCCAATCAGTTATTTTGTGACAAGATAGGGGGGTATACAGAAGATAGCCGTATTATGGCAAGAACAGCTCAAATAAGCAAAGAGAAACGACAATCCATCATTACTTTAAGACATGAAGGTCAGTCAATATGGAAAAGTTAAAGAACTTTGAACGTTTCTTCAAGTGCAGTCGCAAAAACCATCAAGCAGTATGATGAAACTGGCTCTCTTGAGGACCGCCACAGGAATGGAAGACCCAGAGTTACCTCTGCTGTAGAGGAAAAGTTAATTAGAGTTACCAGCCTCAGAAATTGCAGCCCAAATAAATGCTTCACAGAGTTCAAGTAGCAGACACATCTCAACATCAACTGTTCAGAGGAGACTGTGTGAATCAGGCCTTCATGGTCGAATTGCTGCAAAGAAACCACTACTAAAGGACATCAATACGAAGAAGAGACTTGCTTGGGCCAAGAAACACGAGCAATGGACATTAAAACTGTGGAAATGTGTCCTTTGGTCTGGAGTCCAAATTTGAGATTTTGGGTTCAAACCGCTGTGTCTTTGTGAGACACGGTGTGGGTGAATGGATGATCTCCGCATGTCCAACGTAAAGCATGGAGGAGGAGGTGTTATGGTGTGCGGGTGCTTTGCTGGTGAAACTGTCTGTGATTTATTTAGAATTCAAGGCACACTTAACAAGGATGGCTACCACAGCATTCTGCAGCGTTACGCCATCCCATCTGGTTTGGGCTTAGTGGGACTATCATTTGTTTTTCAACAGGACAATGACCCTACACACCTCCAGGCTGGGTAAGGGCTATTGTACCAAGAAGGAGAGTGATGGAGTGCTGCATCAGATGACCTGGCCTCCACAATCCTCTGACCTCAACCCAATTGAGATGGTTTGGGATGAGTCGGACGGCAGAGTGAAGGAAAAGCATCCAACAAGTGCTCAGCATATGTGGGAGCTCCTTCAAGACTGTTGGAAAAGCATTCCACGTGAAGCTGGTTGAGAGAATACCAAGATTGTGCAAAGCTGTCATCAAGGCAATGGGTGGCTATTTGAAGAATCTCAAATATAAAATATATTTTGATTTGTTTAACACTTCTTTGGTTACTATGTGATTCCATATGTGTTATTTCATAGTTTTTCATAGTAGTCTTCACTATTATTCTACAATAAAAAAAAATGTTCAAATAAAGAAAAACCCTTGAATGAGTAGGTGTGTCCAAACTTTTGACTGGTACTGTATATATTTTCCTGCTGTGTGACATGAAATTTCCCCTCGGCAATGAATTAATCAACTACAGTGGGGAGAACAAGTATTTGATACACTGCCGATTTTGCAGGTTTTCCTACTTACAAAGCATGTAGAGGTCTGTAATTTTTATCATAGGTACACATCAACTGTGATAGACGGAATCTAAAACAAAAATCCAGAAAATCACATTGTATGATTTTTAAGTAATTAATTTGCATTTTATTGCATGACATAAGTATTTGATCACCTACCAACCAGTAAGAATTCCGGCTCTCACAGACCTGTTAGTTTTTCTTTAAGAAGCCCTCCTGTTCTTCACTCATTACCTGTATTAACTGCACCTGTTTGAACTCGTTACCTGCATAAAAGACACCTGTCCACACACTCAATCAAACAGACTCCAACCTCTCCACAATGGCCAAGACCAGAGAGCTGTGTAAGGACATCAGGGATAAAATGGTAGACCTGCACAAGGCTGGGATGGGCTACAGGACAATAGGCAAGCAGCTTGGTGAGAAGGCAACAACTGTTGGCGCAATTATTAGAAAATGGAAGAAGTTCAAGATGACGGTCAATCACCCTCGGTCTGGGGCTCCATGCAAGATCTCACCTCGTGGGCCATCAATGATCATGAGGAAGGTGTGGGATCAGCCCAGAACTACACGGCAGGACCTGGTCAATGACCTGAAGAGATCTGGGACCACAGTCTCAAAGAAAACCATTAATAACACACTACGCCGTCATGGATTAAAATCCTGCAGCGCACGCAAGGTCCCCCTGCTCAAGCCAGCGCATGTCCAGGCTGAAGTTTGCCAATGACCATCTGGATGATCCAGAGGAGGAATGGGAGAAGGTCATGTGGTCTGATGAGACAAAAATATAGCTTTTTGGTCTAAATTCCACTCGCCATGTTTGGAGGAAGAAGAAGGATGAGTACAACCCCAAGAACACCATCCCAACCGTGAAGCATGAAGGTGGAAACATCATTCTTTGGGGATGCTTTTCTGCAAAGGGGACAGGACGACTGCACCGTATTGAGGGGAGGATGGATGGGGCCATGTATCGCGAGATCTTGGCCAACAACCTCCTTCCCTCAGTAAGAGCATTGAAGATGGGTTGTGGCTGGGTCTTCCACACAGCCAGGGCAACTAAGGAGTGGCTCCGTAAGAAGCATCTCAAGGTCCTGGAGTGGCCTAGCCAGTCTCCAGACCTGAACCCAATAGAAAATCTTTGGAGGGAGCTGAAAGTCCGTATTGCCCAGCGACAGCCCCGAAACCTGAAGGATCCGGAGAAGTTCTGTATGGAGGAGTGGGCCAAAATCCCTGCTGCAGTGTGTGCAAACCTGGTCAAGACCTACAGGAAACATATGATCTCTGTAATTGCAAACAAAGGTTTCTGTACCAAATATTAAGTTCTGCTTTTCTGATGTATCAAATACTTATGTCATGCAATAAAATGCAAATTAATTACTTAAAAATCATACAATGTGATTTTCTGGATTTTTGTTTTAGATTCCGTCTCTCACAGTTGAAGTGTACCTATGATAAAAATTACAGACCTCTACATGCTTTGTAAGTAGGAAAACCTGCAAAATGGGCAGTGTATCAAATACTTGTTCTCCCCACTGTATATATCTTTCTTTTTTAGGTGCTGGGCAATGCCGTATTCCTCATCCGCATCCCTACCATGGCATTGGATGACTTTGCCAATGGTGCCGCCCAATCAGGCGTCCTGACGCTGAACGAAACCAACGACATCTTCCTGTGGTATACCGCGGCCAAGAAACCGGACCTCCAGTTCGCCAGCCAACCCCGGAAGGGCCTGTCTCCCCAGCAATGCCACCGTTTCCAGTCCTGCGCCTACCGGAGCAACCAGTGGCGCTACCGGGGACGCTGCGACAGCATCCAGTTCGCCGTGGACAAACGGGTCTTCATCGCCGGGTTCGGCCTCTACGGCTCCAGCTGCGGATCGGCGGAGTACTCGGCTAAGATCGAGCTCAAGCGCCAGGGCCTTGTCCTCGGACAGAACCTGAGTAAATACTTCTCTGACGGTTCTAGCAACACGTTCCCTGTGTGGTTTGAGTATCCCGTTCAGATAGAACCGGATACGTTCTACACGGTCAGCGTGGTGCTGGATGGGAAAGAGTTGAGTTACTTTGGACAGGAAGGCATGACCGAGGTGCAGTGTGGGAAGGTGACGTTTCAGTTCCAGTGTTCATCAGAGAGTACCAACGGGACCGGAGTCCAAGGGGGACAGATACCTGAACTCATCTTCTACACATAAAGAAACCTAATGCCTAATGTGTACCTTCTGTGACCATCCACATGTCTGGTTCCGCGTCCACTCACTTCCTTGGAAAAGAATGTGAAGACGGGAGCAAACGTTCAAAATTGCGACGTTTTGTTTGAGTGGCCTTAGCGGAAGGCGTGGAAGAGGAAGGTATGAATTAGGCTTAATGGAATGGACCATACCATAACTGAGTTTGGTCCCCCAAGGAGATGTGCTTGTTTTTATGGGACCATTCTAGTTGCCCTTTCCAGCAGTCAAATGACCTAGTAGCCTCATGGAATGTTATTCATATTTTTCATAATTTCATAATTAATAAACATTATTTTTTTAAACCTGATGGAAATTCGGTGTTTCTATGTTAAACCGTTTTGTTATTATTTCCGTCTTCTGTGATCTGTATAAAGTGTAATATTGTGATGCAAATTCAAAATGTAATACATTTCAACTCTATATCTGACATGATACAGGTGTCTTCTTTTTTTAAGCCCATAACCGTGTGTGAGGTGTACACTTTGTAGATGTGTTTAGTGCTACCAAGAAACACTTTGTGTGACCCTGTTTTAGCCCACTGCACTAACATGTTTTAAGGACTATGGTTGGATGGTCAAAATGTGTCCATTGTGTCTGCTGACTGAGAATGGATTTAGTTTCTAGGTGGTACTTTATTTGCAAGTGCTGGAAGTCTTTTTGACAGTGGTCCAATTACTGACTTGGACGGATATTTTCTTTGTACATTGTCTCAATATTTTTTGAATTTCTCTCTTTCTTTATGTGCGAAACAACAGACATCTAATAAACAACAGATATCTAATAAACAGCAGATATCTAATAAACAGCAGATATCTAATAAACAGCAGATATCTAATAAACACAGATATCTAATAACACAGATATCTATAAACAGCAGATTCTATTAAACAGCAGATATCTAATAACAACAGATATCTAATAACAACAGATATCTATAAACAACATATATCTAATTAAACAAGCATATATCTAAATAAAACAACATATATCTATAACAGCAGATATCTAATAAACAACAGATATCTAATAAACAACAGATATCTAATAAACACAGATATCCTATAAACACATATATCTAATAAACAACAGTATCTAATACACAACAGATATCTAATAAAAACAGATATCTATAAGACAACAGATTATCTAATAAACAACATATATCTAATAAACAACAGATATCTAATAAACAACATATATCTAATAAACAACAGATATCTAATAAACAACAGATATCTAATAAACAACAGATATCTAATAAACAACAGATATCTAATAAACAACAGATATCTAATAAACAACAGATATCTAATAAACAGCAGATATCTAATAAACAGCAGATATCTAATAAACAACAGATATCTAATAAACAACAGATATCTAATAAACAGCAGATATCTAATAAACAGCAAGATATCTAATAAACCCATATATCTAATAAACACTATTATCTATAAACACAGATATCTAATAAACAGCAGATATCTAATAAACAACAGATATCTAATAACAGCAGTATCTACTAAACAACAGATATCTAATAAACACATAATCTAATAACAACAGATATCTAATAACAACAGAATATCTAATAAACAACAATATCGAATAAAACAACAGATATCTAATAAACAGCAGATATCTAAAACACCAGATATCCTAATAAACAACAGATCTCTAATAAACAACAGATTCTAATAACAACAGATTCTAATAAACACAGATATCTACATAAACAGCAGATATCGAATTAACACAGATTCTATAAACAACAGATATCTAATAAACACAGATATCTTAATAAAACAACAGATATCTAATAAACAACAGATATCTAATAAACAACATATATCTAATAAACAACAGATATCTAATAAACAACAGATATCTAATAAACAGCAGATATCTAATAAACAACAGATATCTAATAAACAGCATATATCTAATAAACAACATATATCTAATAAACAACAGATATCTAATAAACAACAGATATCTAATAAACAACAGATATCTAATAAACAAGCAGATATATAATAAACAACAGATATCTAATAAACAACAGATATCTAATAAACAGCAGATATCTAATAAACAACAGATATCTAATAAACAACAGATATCTAATAAACAACAGATATCTAATAAACAACAGATATCTAATAAACAGCAGATATATAATAAACAACAGATATCTAATAAACAACAGATATCTAATAAACAACAGATATCTAATAAACAACAGATATCTAATAACACAGATATCTAATAAACAACAGATATCTAATTAACACAGATATCTAATAAACACAGATATCTAATAAACAACAGATATCTAATAACAGCAGATACAATAAACAACAGATATCTAATAAACACCAGATCTCTACTAAACAACAGATATCTATAAACAACTATATCTAATAACAACATATTCTAATAAACAGCATATATCTAATAAACAGCAGATATCTAATAAACAACAGATATCTATAAACAACAGATATCTAATAAACGCAGATATCTAATAAAACAACAGATCTCTAATAAACACATATATCTAATAAACAACAGATATCTAATAAACAGCAATATCTACTAAACAACAGATATCTAATAAACACACATATCTCTAATAAACCGCCGATATCTACTTAACCACAGATATTCAGTAATAAACAACAGATATCTAATAACAACGATTCTATAACAACAGATATCTAAATAACAACAGATATCTAATAAACAGATATCTAATAACCAGCAATATATTCAATAAACAACAGATAATAATAAACAACAGATATCTAATAACCACAGAATATTCTAATAAACAACCGATATCTAATAAACGAGATATCTAATAAGCAACATTATCTAATAAACGCAGATATCTTTAATAAAAAACAGATTCTAATAAACAACATATTCTATAAACAACATATATTTTAAAACAACATATATCTAATAAAACCACAGGATATCTAATAACAGCAGATATCCTAATAAACAACAGATTCTAATAAACAACATATTATCTAAGAAACAACAGATTCTAATAAACAACAATATCTAATAAACAACAGATATCTAATCAACAGCAATATCTAATAACAACATATATCTAATAAAACAGCGGTAATCTAATAACACATATATCTTATAAAACAGAGATCTAATAAACAGCAATATCTAATCAGCACCATATATCAATAACCAGCCGAGATTATCTAATAAACAACCTATATCTAATAACAACAGATATCGAATAAACAGCAGAATCTACTCAACAACATATTCTCAATAACAACAGTGATCTAATACACAACATATATCTAATAAACAACAGATATCTAATCAACAACAGTATCTATAAACAACAGATATCTAATAACAACAGATTAGCGAATAAACAACATATATCTAATAAACAACATATATCTAATAAACCCTCTATCTAATAAACACAGATATCTAATAACAACAGATATCTAATAAACAGCAGATATCTACAAACAACAGATATCTAATAACAACAGATATCTAATAAACAACAGATTTATCTAATAAACACCATTATTCTATAACACAACAATATCTAATAAACAACTATTCTAAATAAACAGCAGATATCTAATAAACAACATTAATCTAATAAAACACATATATCTAATAAACAACATATATCTAATAAACAACATATATCTAATAACACAGATATCTAATAAACAACATATATCTACTAAACAACAGATTATCTAATAAACACATATAGCTATAAACCAGCAGATATCTAATAACAACCTATATCTATAACAACATATTATCTAATAAACACATATATCTAATAAACAACATACTCTAATAAACCAACAGATATCTAATAAACAGCATATTATATAAAAACAACATATATCTATAAACCAGATATCTAATAAACAACATATATCTAATAAACAACATATATCTCATAAACATCAATATCTAATAAACAACATATATCTAATAAACAACATGTATCTACTAAACAACAGATCTCTAATAAACAGCATATATCTAATTAACCACAGAATATCTACTACAACAGATATCTAACAACAACAGATATCTATAAAACAACAGATATCTAATAAACACAGATATCTAATAAACAACAGAATATCTAATTAAACAACATATATCTAATAAACACATATATTTTAATAAACAACAGATATCTAATAACAACAGATATCTACTAACAGCAGATATCTAATAAACAACAGATAGCTAATAAACACATATATCTTAATAAATACAACAGATATTAATAAACCCCAGATATCTAATAACCACATATATCTATAACAGCAGATTCTAATAAACAACATATATCTTTAAACAGCGGTAATCTAATAAACAACAATATCTAATACCAACAGATATCTTAATAAACTCATATATCTCATAAGCCACATAATCTAATAAACAGCAGATATCTAATAAAAACATATATCTAATAACAACGATATCTATAAACAGCAGATATCTATAAACAACATATATCTAATAAACCAACAGATATCTAAATACAACAGATATCTAATAATCAACAGTATCTAATAAACCACAGATATCTAATAAACACAGATATCTAATAAACAACAGATTCTAATAAAACAACATATATCTACTAAACAACATTATCTAATAAACCACAATATCTAATAAACAAAGATACGCTAATAAACCACAGATATCTACTAAACACGATCTATCTACAAACCACATACTCTACCTCAAACCTCTATCTAATCAACAACATATACTCTCATAAACACATATGCTAATAACAACGATATCAATAAACAACATATATCTAATAATGACAGCAGATATCTAATAAACAACATTATCTATAAACAAATATATCTATACACAACATAATTCTAATCCACAACATATATCTAATAAACAACAGATAT